ACATATATTTTTAAATACACTGTTAACCTTTAGAGGGAGGTTTTTCTTCATCTGAATCTGCTTTACTGTAAATCTTTACCTTTTTCTGGCCACACAGTCTTTTATCTGCTAAACAACACTGCTAAAATTAAAGCAGTGGATTTTTTACCCATTGTCTTTCCAAGATGGAGGGCATACGTTTACTGCCAGCAGTGAGAGCTGTGCTCACTGCCTTGGTCTACGCTGCAATCAAGCAGCATGCTGCCGGCTTGGAGATGTGGTCACTGCCATGGCCAGCTGCTTGTACACACCACTGAATTGTTAGCAAGACCTCTAAAGAGCCTTGCAGTTTTTGCCACTTATGCTGAGTCAGGAAGCCTCTCTTAAAGGAGCCTCCAGCCTCTGCTTGTCTCTGCAAAACAGACCACCTGAGAAAATGCTGCTACCAAGAAGTTGTGTTTGTCTCTGTTCTTTTGCTTCTAAAATCCCCTTTTTAAGCTTTTGTGAAGCTTTTATGTGGAAGTTCATAAAACCACGTCCTGACACCATTATGTAACCATTAATCTTTCTGCCAAGCCACCCGAGCCCCACCACCACATGAACAAGCCTCATGATCCTGCCGCCATAGCCAGGAATCCCACCACCACCAGGCTTCCTGCCCCACCATAGCCAGGAATCCCCCCACCCCCAGGCTTCCTGCCCCACCATAGCCAGGAATCCCACCACCCCCAGGCTTCCTGCCCCACCATAGCCAGGAATCCCCCCACCACCAGGCTTCCCGCCCCACCATCCCCAGAAACCCCTCCACCACCACCACCACCACCACCACCACCACGCTGCTGCTGTGCTGTCCTGCATCCAAGCTGTCTTCCTTTCTTAACTTGCTTTTGTCAGAAACTGGTAACAGCAGCAACAACAACAACAAAAAAGTAGTTAATATACCAAAGTATTTTATTTTACATGGAAACACACTGCTCACTCTCTCACACCTCTGGTGTTTTCTCCAGAGTGCTAAGCACCTGAAATGGACTCTTACACTTATAACTGTCTTCCCATTTTTGCATGAAACAGAGTGAGGTTCTGAGAATTAGACAGAAGTTTAGACAGAGACATTAAGTGAAGGAACGAGTCATGTGGGTACTTGTAGGATGTATTCCAACTAACAGGAAAGTAACCAAGGCCCTGAGTTCTGGAGAACATTCCAGAATAAGGCCCTGAGTTCTGGAGAACATTCCAGAAGAGCAAAGAGATTGGCACAGCTGGTGGAGAGTGAGCCATGGGTGGGTGTGACATCAGGGAGTGAGTGTGACTGTGTGTGAGTGTGACTGTGTGTGCGTGTGTGTGTGTGTATCTGCCTGTGTGCCTGTCTCTGTGTGTCTGTGTCTGTCTGCCTGCCTGCATGTCTGTGTGTCTGCCTGTATGTCTGTATGTGTGTTTGTCTGTCTGCTGCCTGCATGCGTGTGTGTGTGTGTGTGTGTGTGTGTGTGTGTGAGAGAGAGAGAGAGAGAGAGAGAGAGAGAGAGAGAGAGAGAGAGAGAAAGAGAGAGAGAGAGAGAGAGGGAGAAAAAAGGGCATGAGAGGGGAGGAAGAGGTCTAAAGGAAGAGGAAAGAGAAGACAATGGAAGTATATGGGGACTTAGCAGGGGAAGGAAGGGAACAACAAGAGATTTTTGAAAGAAGAAGGGAACTTAGTGGGGTTGGGGGTGTGGTGCTCCAGTAAGAACGAAGTGTAATGACATATATATGAAAATGCCGTCATAAAACCTATTACACTGTATGCCAACTTAAAAATCAATGAAACATTTTTAAAGAGACGGAGGCTGCTCCTAACCTGTGTGGCCTCCCCATCACTCACCCACCTACCTCCACTCCCACTCCGTTCATTCTCTGCACACACAGGGGCCAGATTCAACTTTATTGGATATGGAGATGTGTTTAGAAATTCAGTATTGAACCAAGTCCATTGTCAATAATGAATTTTAAGATGAACTAATTTGCTCTCAATGCTTGTGATTAGAATAATCACCCCCCTGGAATGTAAGTAAGCACGGTAGAAATAAACAGTATTTAAGCAGCGAGGGCCGCTTACTCTATTTTCTTGTGTGCAGTTCGTTTATACCCAGGAGGGGCACAGGCTGGAGATGCACTTGAGTTTCCCTTGTGGCTCTTTCAGATTTAAGCTGGACAAGGCATGCAGCTTTGCAATAAAGGGTAACATAAATCAGGAAAATAGCTGGCCCAGCTTTGATTGTTTGAGAATTAATGCCGTTGCTTCTATTTTTTATAGTTCCCCTGCCTCTTGTACTCTCTAATGTAGCTCCCCTGAACCACCAGAAGCCGAAACACTGGATGTTATTGATGAGCGATGTGTTTGGAGGAGGCTTTCTCTCACATGTTCACTGGCTATCTTGAGATGGGGCATGCCTGCAAATGTAGAGTCTTGGATAGGATCCTTTGGAGAGAAGATAGGACTTGTCTAATTATGACTCAATTAGAGATGTCTAGGCATGGATATGAACATTGGAATATCCTTGGCAGGGTGACTTGAAGGCTTTCACATGCCCTAGAAGTGACCTTTTGCCCCTTCCACCCACCCATCCATGCACAGGCCTTCTCCAACACCAGATGCCTCATAACCAATATGAGCCATAAAACATAGCTCGGTACCTAGAACATACTGATGGTCTGGTACACAGGAGGGTAACTGCTGCCTGACCAGTGTAGTGACCAGCTGTGAGAGAGTGGTGAAAATGCAGAGTTTATATATGAGGTGTGGCCTCTTCCCAGACATAGAGGCAGGCTTGCCCCATCTTGGGTTGAGATGTTGTTCTATTATTTTGTTTTATTTTCTAAGACAAGAACTCACTATGCAGAGAAGGCTGGTCTCAAACTCTTTATACTCCTGCCCTGGCTCTTATTCAACACCTAGCATCACTCACACTCATCTCCTTCATCAGCCTGCTTAAGAGGTCTACAGCTCTCTGACAAAGGTCATCAGACAGGTATTTCTTCCATGACCCAAACACATCTTAAAGAGAGAATGAAAAGCAAATATAGAGTACTATTACTCTATGTATTGTTTAATAAATGAAAAACCTTAGTGGGTGAAAAGAGTACACAATTATTACCTACAACCTCTGTGGGTTAGGAGTCCAGGCATGGTTAGTCGGGTCCTCTGCAAGGCTTAGTGTTGGTCTGAAGGCTTGACTGGGATGGTCTAACTTCATTTAGCTCCTGGTATCATTCATATCCTTGCTGCAAACTGAGGCCCCAACTTCTTACTAGTGCTATGCTAAGGTCATTCTCATCAGTGACAGCCTTCTCCCAGTTCCTTATTCACAAGCTCTTTTTCAACATGGCAGCAGGCTTCTCCAAAGGCAACCCCTCATAGCAGTCCACAGCCCACCAGCCAGAAGAAAATTCACACAGTGTGTGGAACCACAGATATGATGAGCTGGAACTTTCACCAGCAGCTAATCCCTAGGAAGGAAATTACACAAAGATAGGGACAATGGGAGGCAGGGGCCATGGGAATCACCTAAGAGTCTATCCACCCACTGCTGCAAGAGGATGATTTATTGTATTAATTTCTCATCTTGATCCAGAAAGTATTACAGGTAAATAGTCTAACAAGGCAGACCGCTGGCCTGCAAGAGCATGGACAGGGAAGTGAAGAAGCAGCTGAATTTATTGCAATCCAGACATATCACTCTCAAAGCCTAATGGAATAGGCACCATGTTTTAATATACAGAGTAGAAAATCAGGTTGCACTCAGAGAGTGAAGAGTGTCATGAACACCAGCTGGCCACTGGCACTCCCTTCTGGGTGGTGGTTCCCTTCCCACGCCCCACCCACTCCATGCTCTCCTCCCCTTCCTGAACTCAGTCCATAAGAAGGACCTTCATTTTGGTCACTTGCTACCTATACCAGCGTGTTCCACATCAGGAACTTGTTCCACATCATGAACTTGGCAATCATGCTGTGTGTTACCATGGTCTGCCCATCCTCAGCCACTGCTGCCTTGGGCACTGCCATAGCCTCTCTGCACCCATCCACATCTTCTGGGAGACTGCTGTTCTGGGACTGAGCCAGCCCAGGTAGGCCTCCTAATACTGCTCTTGGCTTTCGCTGGCTCTTCTATCTGCTACCCATCCTCCCCCACCACACACACACACATACCAGGAGTAATTTACTACCACTTGCTGATTCGGGTTGTCCTGTGTATATGTTTCTCTTATTGATTGATGAATACTGTGACCAATAGAGGCAGGGAAATAGGCAGGACTAGGAGATGAGGAGAATTCTGGGAAGTGTAGGCAGACAGCAGCCACCAAATGAGAACTGGAAGGTAGGATGCACCGGACCCTTCTCCAGTAAGATAAGAACACAAAATGAGTTAACAATCAAGACAGAGCTAGCCAATAAGAAGCCCTAGCTACTGGGCTTCTTATAATTAATTTTATAATTTATAATTTAATATAGTTTATAATTAATATAGCCATCTGTGTATTTATTTGGGGTTGAAGCGGTTGTGGGACCAGGCTGCCAGGGTGGAAACTTTCACCAACAACTTGCTTTTGTCATATTCCCAGTTCAATAACTATGACTAAGGTTGGTACTTACGTCATTCTCAAAACGTGGGATTTCTGTATACATCAAAAGACCTTGAAAATAAGCTTTCTGGTAGATTTGACAGTGTATGTGTAAAAATTAGGTTTGCCTTAAAATGGATCATATTTAAAGAGAATGACTGTTGTGGTTGACCTTAGTTATCAGTGTGGCACAGCCAAGAGTCATTTCAAAAGGAGAAGCTTCAGTTGAGTAATTGCCTAGACCAAGTTGGCCTGTGGGCCTGTCTACGGGGGTTATATTGATTATTAATTGATGTAAGAGGACCTAGCCCATTGTGGGCCACACATTTCCTGGGTAGGAGGTGGTCCTGGGCTACTTAAGAAAGCTAGATAAGCATGCACCAGCCTACAATCAGCATCCTCCATGGTTCCTGCTCTACTTCCTCAGCTGTGAGTTCCACAGTTGGAGGTGATCTGCATGGAACAGCAAGCAGTGCTGCCTTGAGTTCCTGCCCTGATTGCAACAGTTGACTGTGACCCGGAAACATCAGCATTTTCCTCCCCGAGTTGCTGCCTCTGGTCATGGTATTTATCACAGCAACACATCGAAACCAGCTTCTACTTCTCTTCTATGTGGGATCCCTCCTTAAACCCACAGCCGCCTGCTTCAGGGGGACCCCTGCCACTGCTGCAGCCCCCCCCTCTATAGACAGCTGTGTCACACTATTGTCTTTCATCTCAAGCTCCCGTTTCCCTGTCACTCTCAGATGATGGCTTGGCTTTCTCTTTCACTGGGAATGTGGGAAGTGCTAGGACAGACCATCTGCACACTCCCATGCCCACACCTCCCTGTTTACCCCATGCAGTAACCATCCACTGAGGAAAACGGGCGAGAAAGGGTCCGGAATTGCCCCAACCATGTCTCAGCTCTCCTGGACTCACAGCCCTGACCCCTGCACAAGGCAGCCTGCAGTAACCAGGCTGCAGTGACACAATCCCTGTTGAGGATGTCTTCCCACTTGTCACTGGCTGCTGAGCCTTCACAGAGGAGACTTAAAATTAACACCAACAGCTAGATACCATGCTCACACCTGTCATCTCAGCACTTCAAGGCCAAGACAGAGGGAGCTCTCATCAACTCAAGGCCATAAAGCTGCACAGAAAGACCCTGTCTCAAAAAAGTTTTGATCTGCTTTTAATTAGCACTAACTACCCACCTCTTCGGCTTCTACTCCTCAGTGATAGGTGGGTATGATTTAGGAAGAAGCCTATGTGGGGGCATTCCCAAGGGGCAGAATAGGACTGGAGTTAGATGAGAATGTGGGGAGAAAAAAACACCAACTAGTTTGAGTCCCTAAGAGCAAGCAGGGCCATCTCACACTTGGTGCTGAGTGGAGCACTGACGGGGCTCCAGAAAGTGTCCACACAGTCTTGCCTGAGTGCTTGGCAGTCACTTCCAGTTTTCTGGACACGTCACCCTCTGGCCTTCCTCCCTAGTGTGGCAGGTCTCAGCTGTGATTCATTGTCCTTGGGAGAGGACCCAGGAAATTGCCTTCCCACAAAACCCTGCTCCCTGACTCAGATGCTCAATAACTCCCCATGCCCAGGAGATAACATCTTTTCTCAACACTCGTTCCTTCTTTCCGGTGATTTACTGGCAGACACACTGTACACATCACCTCAGAGCCACTGCTGCAGTCTTCGGCTTAGGGACTGTGGGGTGGTTTTCCATTCACACTTTCCAGATACTACCTCTGAATGCTTAGCATGCCTGCTGCTGCCTTTCTTCTTTTGCTTCAGAAAGGAAGGAGACACGCGTTCCTAAGAAAGTTCTAGAAACGTCCCCTCCCCAATTCACAATCCAGTATGTCAATTTACAACTGATTCCCTGCGGAGCCCCTCTCTGGCTACAGTCCTAGCTTTCAATTCTGTTGCTGTGATAAAATATCCTGACAAAAAGCAAGTTAGGGAAGAAAAAGCTCATTTCCACTCATATTCTGGGTTATATAGTTCATTGTTAAAGGGAAGTCAGGGCAAGGACTCAAGGTGGCTAGTCACATCACATCCCAAGAACAGACAGCCATATCCATTCACCCACATGGTTCCTTCCTGTTCCTTGAGTCCCTCTGAATGCCAATCTTCTGTAGCCCTGATTTCTCTCTTCCCAACAGTGTATGTATGGTTTCTGGGGATTCGAGTTTCCTTGGTTACAGAGTAAAGGAACTGGATCGAGGGCCAAGAGCCCTTCTAGGTCTGCAGAAACAGACTTCATCTACCAGTGTCCCCAGATAGATCGATTACACCAGCTCACTCTTTGGTGAGACCTGGTGTACATAGGGAAAGAACTGCCTCAATGCAAGATCTAGGTCAGATGTCCTCACACTGGAAGGAGGGGAGGCTAGGAGTGAAGAAAACAGCCTAGATCTGAACAGAGGCCAGGCTCTGCAACTGGCCAGCTGTGTGTACTCCCCAGCCTTTCTGTACCATGCTGTGAGGCCAGAGAAGGGTATGTCATGCCTTGGGATGGTGGCAACACAGTAGCCCTCACAGTATGTTGGGAGAGCACTGTATATACACCAGTTGTTCACAGAATCTGGTCATGATCGTTTTCATGGTCACATCATCCTCAAAGACACACAAATCAACTCCAGGAACACATCTTTACAAGTGTCAGGAAAGCAAGAAGGAAGGAAGCCCAACCATGAATTTCAAGATCCAGATATGATCCAAATATATACATGATGGTGAAAATGAGCCCACTGCCCTCCCCTCCCTCAGTTTGGATCCCATGACACAAATTCCTTTTCTAAACACAATACTAACGACATACTTCCAATTGTGTTGCTTATGTTTAATTAGTTGAAATAATATGTACAAATGTAACAGAAGGGCAGAATGACATCAAACCATCCTATTAGAGCTGAAATTTTAGTAGAGAAAGTTTTATGGAGTCATGACCCCCCAGGAAAAGACCACTAGGCTTAATTCAGATTATAACTGCCCAAATCAGAAGTGCACCAAGTAAAGGGGGGATGAGGGAAGGATGCTTAAAGGTGAAAACCACAAGAAAACCTTGAGTATCTGTACAAGCAGCCAAGAGCTGTTCTGCTCTACCAAGCTTAGATAGAGAAGGCAACCTCAAAATAGTCCTTGACTGGGGAAGTTTATTTTATCTTACACTTACGGTTAACAGTTCAGTTAACAGTTCCTTGCAGAAGGGAGTGTTGGCAGGAACTCAAAACATAGCATGAACCTGGAGGCAGGAACTAAAACAGAAACCATGAAGGAATGGCTTACTGACCTGCTCCACACTACTTAATCTGCTTTCTTACACTACTCGGGACCACCACTGTGGGATGGGCCCTCCCACATCAATCATTAATCAAGAGACCCCACAGACTTGCCTACAGCCCAATATTTCTCAGTTGTGGCTCCCGATTTTCAGGTAACTCTATTTGTGTCAAATTGACATAAAACTAACCAGCACAATTGACACCTTGTCAATTTGACACACAAACACATCATTATTCAACTAGAACATTTCCTTTCTCATTTGTCCCCAAGATGGCAAGTTAATATTAATACCACATTATAAAACATTCCAACTTTTAAAAGTCCCAGTCTTTTTTTGTTTGCTTGTTTTGTTTGAGACAGGGTTTCTCTGTGTAACCCAAGCTGTACTGGGACTCGTTCTGTAGTCCAGGCTGGCCTCAAACTCAGAGATCCACCTGCCTCTGCCTCCTGAGTGCTGGGATTATAGACACGTACCATCAAGCCTGGCTGTAGTGCAGTCTTTAAAACTTCTACCCCTTTAAAAAATGTCATCTCTTTAAGACACTTAGTTTCTCCAATTTCAAACCCTCTCCAAAGTATCCAAAACAGCTCTAAAATATATAAAGTCTCTCCAAAACACCAGTCTCTCTCAACTGTGGTCTCCCATTAAAAATCAGAAATAAGTCACATACCTTCTTGTGCCAGAAGACGATTCAGGGCACTCACAGTCAAGTCAACACAAAACCACATCCAGCAATGTGAACTCCATTGGTGTTTGATGTCTGGGATCCACTGTTGATTTTCTGAGCTCCAAAGGGTTTGGACATCTGCACATATCTGGTTCTGCCATTCACAGCACAGACAGCTTGTCTCATAGGCTTAGATCAGCTCCACACCACAGCTGCAGCTGTCCTTGGTGGCCATGAGATGACACTGGATTCTCCAAAATGCTGGGTGTTCACTGTACCTAGGTTGCACCTTCACCGACAGCTTCTTCCTGGACCTTCTCCAAGGACACCCTGCCATGTGGTGCCAAGCCTCAGTCTCTCTCACCATGGCCTATTTAACCTTCTCACCATACCACACCCCAGCTGCTTTCCATGATCCCTTTATTCCTTTAAAACTAGTACCACCTGGGAATCTCTTGCACATTATCAACTGCTACAATAAGGAGCAGCCTCAGCCGCCTCTAATGCAACTACTGTGTGCTGACTCCAAGGCAACGCTCCCCAGAAGATTTCACCTCCTTGACGAAGGTCTCTTGCTAATCCCTGCTAATTTCTCAGATCCCGCTGACCGGCATCAGTTAACTGTCCCAGTGGATTTGATCTCCTGTTAATCACAGCTGATGCTTCAGCACCAGCTGACCAGAATCACAAATTCTTAATTCTCAAAATATTCACGCCATGGATAGTCTTTCAGGGTTTCTCTAACTTCCCTTTGAAACTTGACAAGTCAGATCTTGATCATGAGAAATTCTCTCAAGCCTTTTATCTTCTGTGCATCCACAGAATGGCCCCCTAAGCTCTGAACACTGAACTCAAAACATTCAACAGCTTTTTTCCAGCCCAAACTTCAAATGCCACCATAACCCTTGGAAAATAAAATACATGGCCGGAGCTGTCACAGACATATTCTATGACCTTGTACCAATTTCTGTCTTCTTTAGGGTTTCTGCCACTGTGATAAAAACCACGACCAAAAGAAACTTGGAAAGGAAAGGGTTAATTTCATCTTCTACTTCCAGTTACCAGCCCATTGCTGAGGAAGTCATGGCAGGAACTCAAGAGCAGGAACCTGGAGGACGAGCTGCTGCTTACTGACTTGCTCAGCCTGTTTTCTGATACAACTCAGGACCACCTGCCTGGATTGGCCATGCCCACTGTAGGATGGGCCCTCCCACATCAATCATTAATCAAGACAATATCCCACAGACATGCCCACAGGCTAGTCTTACGGAGGCATTTCCTCAACTGTGGCTCCCTCTTCTCAGATAACACTAGCTTGTGTCAAGCTGACATGATATAAAACTAGCCAGCTCAGTACGCAATGTACTTACTAGACATGGACATGACTAGTCCTTAGTGCTTCTCTGTAGGCCTAATGACAAGACCTAAAGCACCTACTGTAGTGGCACAGATTAAGATTAAGGGACTTGGTTAAATCGTGGTTAATTTTATTCGGGGAGAAGTCACTTACATAAGAAACTGATGACCTGCAAGTTCCAGCTCCAAGGATCCACACCCAGGCTGCTCTCCGACACCCAACAGGAAACAAGAGAGCAAGCTGAGATCCAGGACCCCAGACCTAGCCTTCCCTCATCACATCCCCACCTGTGACCACGCCTAAATGAGCGTGGTCAGTGCATCAGATGCACTGACACAGCCTAAATGAGCGTGGTCAGTGCATCAGATGCGGGCGGGGTGGATATCTCACTACAACCTATGAAAGTAAAGCACCCAGTGTCTCTTCATTTGCTCTCCCACAAAACCTAGAGCTCTTTGGTTCAGTCAGACTGCCTGGCCAGTAAGCTCCAGGGCCTCCACCTGGGATTATAGAACCATTGTGCCTGATTTTTGGGGGGTTTTGTTTTGTTTTGTTTTTTTACATGGATGCTGGGGATCCCCCACCCCTGTGCTTGCAAGACCAGCACTTCACCAAACGAGCATTTCCACAGACATAAACTTTTCTTTCAAGCCTCATTTACACTAAAATCATTTCTTACCGGCATTTCTCAAAGTATGTTCCAGCCTTGTAATAGCACAATGGGAGTGTGTTACTGTTTGTACATTACTGTGACAGAAGCCCGATGGAAGCATCTTAAAGCAGCAGGGATTTTCTTTGGCTTGCGGTTTCAGACGTTTGGTTCATGGTTGCTTGGTTCTGTTGATTTGGGCCTGTGACGAGGCAGAAGCATCACAGCAGTTGCAAAGTGTAGAGGAAAGGTCAGGAAGCAGAGTAGAGCCGTGATAGGAAGGGACTGTGGGAAGCTATAACCTCAAAGGTCACACCCCAATGACATACTTCCTCTATCCAGTTCCACCCACTTTCCAATCGTCTATTCAAAACTGTTAATAGATTCCTTGGGTCAGAGCTGTCACCGTCTGCATACCCAAGAAGTGTGACTCGCTAAGATCCCAGGTGTCTCTCTATACAACTGAGTCCATAAATCACATTAACCACCCTGGAGAGTTGTTTACACAGAACGGGAATTTTGTCATCAGATGCACTTCAGAGCCCTCTGGGAAGTGTGGGCTTAGACAAACGTGAGCAGGAAAGTGTAGACACAGTAATGGGTCCCTCCAGACACTAATTATTATGTCTACTTTTCCTCCTTCCTGCCTTCAAGAATAACAACATCCAGAGCTGGAGAGAAGGTTCTGCAGATCTGAGCACTTGCTGCTCTTACAGAGGACTGACATTCATTCCTAGCATCCACAGTGAGTGGTAACTCCAGTTCTGAGGGATAGAACACCCTCTTCTGGCCTCTGAGGGCACTGCACTCACACAGTGCACATATAGTCAAGAAAGCACACACACATAAAATAAAATAAACCTTTAAAGATAAAAAGAATTTGGTAACAAGGGAATCTACACAGAATTGTGTCCTTAACAACATCACTTAAATAAGGATTCCTTTGGAAGTTTTTGTTTAAGTTATGGAGAACTCGTCAAGGCAACAGTAAGATGAGAGCCTGAGATTCCTGTAGTTTTTCTTCTACATTCCAGTTTCCAGAGGGCAGAAACATCACTTGCCAGTCCTGACAGCAAAGGCTGTGATTAGGACTGTGCATGTTTGGCTTTGTCTCCATAAAATACATCTTGACATAGAGTAAACACAAGCTAGACACAAAGAGGGGTATGCAGAGATGGTATTTCACCTGCAAGAGCTTATTCATCACATGTTCAGTGACAGTTCCTTCCCACATAAAACCAAGGTGACATCATATGCAACTCAGTTTTCTGTTTCTCTCCTAAGTTTTCAAGTTCACCTGTGAATCTTTGCAGAATGGAAGCCACATAATTTGACAGATGGCTCAGAAAGAAAACACGAGGCACAAAAGTAAATAGGAAAGGACAAAAACCACAGAACTAATCTATATGGTCTGCGTGACCATTTAAAACTTATCAGCGCTAACACTGAGTTACAACCATGTGTGTTGAATTGAAATCACATCTAGAGCCAGTTGATTTGTATAAACATAGCTTACCTGGAGTCCATGCCCTCAAGGGCTGCCACAGTATTTCCAAACTGCTGTCAAAATACTGGTACTGGAGGTTTATTCAGGGTGAGGAATGTCAGGAGGTAATTTTACTCCAGTTAATTTGGTAGTAGCCAAGCTGGGGAGTTATCTCAAAAGGTTGTGCGAATACCATCATCCTTGGACGGAAGAGAGCTGAGGCTGGTCAGCCCATTAGCTCACCAGCCTCACTGTGCTGATCTGAACCCTACCCTGGTTTCCACACCTCCCAAAGGCTGTAAGCCCAGTGTGGCTGAAAGAGGAATCATTCCTCCCCGGAGCTGCATACTCTTGCTCAGGCAGCCTTCTATGCAAGGCGGGGGAGGACAGCCATTAGACAGAGCAGGGGCTCTCTGAGCTTGCAAGAACAGATGGTGCAAGCCTCACTTTGTACTTGTTTGCTAATAAATATTTGTACTTCCAACTGCATTTTTATTCAAGTCTTGATTTCCATGTTGCAGCCCATCTGCCTCCAAACACCACTGACCAGCAGTGTTTGTGAAGGTCACGCATCTAAAGCAGCCAGGCTGGCAGGAGTGAATTCCTAAAATCAGGACTCCAGTATTTGGAATTTGAAATGACCCAATGACAGGACTGTTTTGTAAATCAGCCTTCCAGGACCACTGGAAAAACTCTTCTCTTTCAAATCTACTAAAATTACTTTTGACACTGTTAAATTTACTCAGTTGACTCTAATCATCTATATACAGACATTATACAAAGAAAACTATGAACCTTATTTGACAGGGAGGGGAAATTCATTGTTTCTTTTTCTCTCTCTCTGTCTCTCTCTCTCGTGTGTGTGTGTGTGTGTGTGTGTGTGTGTGTGTGTGTGTTTAATAGCTCAGTGCCTTCCAAGTGTTAGTTTTATTCTTTGCCTTTGCTTTTAGTCAAGCATCTTTGTTTCTACCATCTTGAAGGAATTTTCTATGAAAAAACCCTCACAATGTATTCAGTTCTCATTGCCTCTTTATCATGTCTTGAAGCTTCATATCGATCATGTAAAGTTTCCTGGCAGCATGGCTCAGTGGCTAAGAGCACTTGCTGCTTTTACAAAGGGTCCAGGTCAGTTCCCAGCACCCACATCAGGTGGCTCACAGTTGTCTGTAGCTACAGATACTCTTTCTTTTTCTTTTTTTAAGTAAAGGATTTTCAAAGTATTTTTTAAGATTTGTTATTTTCCTTTGTGTGTATAAATGTTTAGCCTGCCCATGAGACTGGTACCCATGGAGATCAGAAGGAAGCATCAGATGCCCTGGAACTGAAGTTACAGATGGTTGAGAGCCACCATGTGGGTACTGGGAATTGATCCTGGGTCTTCTTCAATAGCAACAAATTCTCTTAACCACTAAGCCATCACTTAAGCCCATCCAGAACTCTTTCTAACAAACCTCCTCTGGTCTCTGTGGCCAACTGTATTCATGTGCATATACCCTAGATGGATACAGACATAGACACATACCTCAAAAAATAAAGTTTTCCAGAAAATTAGATGCTTATTCATAGAAGTCTCTTTCTGGGGCATCTTCTATGCCTCTGATGCCATGTGTGGTTTTATTTCTGTGTTGCCACAAGTTATGGATCAGTTATGATCCCTCTTAAGTGTAGAGATAAGCTGTCCCCATGCATGCTTACTTTGGCAGAAGTGAGTTGTTCTTTTAAGTGTCAACCTATGATAGTAGCTTGCTTTATTTATTTACACAGGTTTTGTAGTCTGGGCTGGCTTCAACTCCCTTTGTAGCCGAGAAATGACCTTGAACTTCTTACCCTCCCACCATGCCCATCTTAGGCAGGACTGGGAATTGAGCCCTGAACTTTCTGCAGGCTGGGCAAGCACTGTCAGCTGAACTACCTCTCCAGCCCCTACAAGGAGCTTCTTAGACACTTCTTCAGATGTAAAATAATCTATTATACCTTTATCCCCATGCATCTCAATAGTAAGACACTGGGCTTTGCCCAAAGAGATACAGCATGTTTTGATTTGTTTTGCATGAATACAGTTGGATGGCAGGAATCAAGTCCACCATGAAAGTACCTTTCCCAGAAGCCGTTACACAAATATGTCTTTATCTCCTCTTTTAACCATTAAAATGGCAACTTTCTGGGTTTACTGTTTCTTTCATGTGGCTTGAAGTAAGCCAGGAATTAGCACCTTATTGTTGGAAAAGATTTGTATGACTGTGGTAAATACCTGGCTGCCTTTGGGAAATCCAGTTTTTAAAGTATTTAGACCTTTGTCAAGTAAGCAAACTATGGTCTGTGGAGTAGTTTTTCCTTATTTATTTCAGATTGCAAAGCAAAATAGCCTGTTTTCTATGTGTTAGTCAATAATGATAGAAAAAATGAGGTGTGTTTGCAAATGTAAGTAATCTGATTTCAATTTGCCTTCATTGCAATCTCTCAGAGAAAAGAAAAGTTTGGACTCAGAAAAGCGTTATTTGGAATTGTCTAAAATAACCTGGAGTGTACAGGTTTATTTTTGGCTTTCAGGGGTCTACTACTACTTTCTCATTTAAATTTTGTCAATAAAGCTTGGAGCTAAATCAGGTAATGAGCCCCAGGCATGGCACCCTGCTATGGAAACTTCCAAGCCATCATTTCCTCCAACTCAGCTTTGTCCAGTCACTTTGGGACTACAGAGAAAGCTGTGGCTCCCTCCCTGTCTCTGCATTTGAGACGGGTGTGGCTTGTGCTCACCTGTGTGGATCTAAACCTGGGTCTCCGCCAGAGGCACAAGCATTTAGCTGTGTCATGAATAATCTAGCATCCTAGATTATTAATCTTTAATCTGTGTCTCTGCATGACAGTCTGGGTCTTCCAGTTTATACATTTGCATCTGCCTGTTAATCTGCATCTATCTTTGCTTCCCTGGCTGTTTGCCAAGCTTTGGAAGCTGAACTATGAGGAAGACAGATAAAGGAGCCTCCAGGACACCCAGTCTGGGTGACTAATCTGTGATAATTTGTAGGCTGAGAAGGGCCAATGTTCTCCTATGAACTATTTAGCCACATCTGTGGCTCACACTTGGTCACCTTGGAGACTGTAGCAAGAGTGCTGAGAGAAAGGGTGCTCCTGAGAATGCTTTTCTACAACCTCCCAAGCCAAAAAGGGAAATTCAAGCCCAGCATTCAGGCCATGGGGAAGATACTATCATCCTTCTGCTTCTAGTTTCATCTCTGCTGCTATGATAAAACATTCAGTTCAAAAGCAATTTAGGGGACAAAGGGTTTATTTCAGCTTATAAGGTCAAGGTCCATCACTAAGGGAAGTCAGAGCAGGAACTGAGGCAGAAGCTCAAGCAGAAACCATGGAGGAAAAATCTTTGCTGGCTTGCACACAGGTTCATGCTCAGCTAGATTTCTTACACAGCCCAGCACCACCTGTCCAGGGAATGGTGTTGTCCACAGTGAGCTGGGCTGTCCTATATCAATTATCAAGAAAATCCCCACAGATATGCCCATAGGCCAATTTGGTCAGTTTAAAGAATAGCAGTAAAAGCCCAAGCAAGAAAAATAAATCCTTCTGGTCAAGAAAATAGAACTAGAGACCTAACAGTCCAGTTGGGCCAGATCAATGTGGGGATGGGGGGGGGAGCACACATCCCTTAGGGCTTACCTTGGCTATGCTGAAGAGAGAGGAGAAAGGAGAAATTATTCTTCTGTACTTCCCTTCCCAGAATCCCATGCTCCTCCCCAATCCAGCACAGTCCCTACAAACCACCAAGAAGGCT